CACCAACATCCCATCTGTCAAGAAATGCCAATCTCCTCTGATTTTATTCCAGTATTCATTAACGTCTTTGTCCCCTACACATGTCAGCCAGCCTTGGGCTCTTCACTGAAAGGTTTGTGGAGCAATAAAATGTTTTCTTCTGACTGTCATCCCAGATTGGATGTCCAGACTTGCTGTACTCAGAAAACCATGGTAACCATATCAGTGGATGATACGCCAATCAGTCCTCTCACATTATATCTTAGGTAATATAAGAGAGCACTTACCTTTTGTATGGGAGGAGTGTAGACCTCAATCCCACTCTTTCTTTAGGTGTCACAACCTAAAAATATAAAGTATCAATTAGTCAGTATAAAGTAGACAGGCTGTTCCACAGGTGTGGAATACTTGTGGTTTACCATGCTCCAGCACTCAGGTCATCCTTCCAGGTGAATAATGTTGTTTGATTTCTCTGTTCTACCCTGAAGCCTTAAACAGATGCAGTGGTGTGCTGAGAGCTGCTCCCAGGGAATAGTCTTTGTTTCTTTTGTTCTCCAGCCAAAACTATACCTGTAACAATAAAGAGCATCAGTTTCAAGACAAACACTTGATGCGTGCCACAACTAGGCAATGTTTCTGGGCTCTTTGTAATACACCAATTTGTTTTTCTGTTTTAATAAATGAAATTAGCACAACTATTTTTCCCCAGAAAGGAAATAACAGCAGAGAATAAAGGCTGGAGTTGCCAGGTTGCCCACCCATGCACTGAAACATCCCCAACACCACACTGCCAGTGCCTAGATAGACAAATATGGCACTTAACTAAGGAGATGTGGCCAAGCACTTGTTGGAAGCACGTGGGCTGTTTCTCTGGATACTCCAGAGCTCCTAGAATGGTCTCTGCTACAGACGTTTTGTTGTGGAATGAGCAAAATCCTTGTTGTTGTGTAACTGTTATGGCTCTCCAAAGTGGCTCTCCAGTTAAGAGAAAACAAAAATATTCCTCTCTCCCTTCTCTCATTTATTGATTTATCACTGACTAGTGCTGCTTGGATTTTAAACTAAGTTAAAGTGTTTATAAATAGTAATTTTATTAACATCTCTTATTTACTTTTCATTCAGTCATTAATTTTCATTAAACATTCATGGCTAAATATGTGTCTGGCAGACTTTAGTGAGGTGATTACACATAAAAATTTAAAAATTGAAACCCATCACTTCCTGTGATGGGGAATGCTTTTTAAAAGAAATTAAAACAAAGCTCACGCTCTGATCCGAGAGTGGAAAAGTCGCAAAACACCCATCCTAGATTCAAATTAGAATTTTTATATTCATGTTAAGATTATTGTGTCATGACATATAGGCCAAATGAATGGGACAGGGCTGTGTCATGTCTCTGCAAAACAGTATTCAAAACCCTCTTTCCCCAATAGAGTACTTTTCCTAGTATATCCAAGCCAGCATGCGTCATACACCTCCATCCAAGCTTTCCTCTTTTAGCCTGCAGCTTCCTACAACTTCCTTTCAAACTTGTCTTTGTTCCCTAATGCCAGTTTCATCTTTTCAGAGGGACACTATGACCTGTTTTGACTCATGGACTGAGTTAACACAGCACCAAATGTAAGCCCAGACTACTCACAGCCGTAGGCCAGCTCCTCACATCTGATGGCCAGTGAGAAGTATCTAAAGACCTTTTGTGCCACAGACAATATTTCCTTTATTTTTATTAAAGAGAAGCATCACGGCAGTACAAACACCTCTATGAAAACCATTCACCTCACGTTACTTTGGCAATGTTTTGAGACAGTGAAACTGAAGAAAAGGAACGCAGAATTCACAAATCAATTTGTTGCTGAAATCTACAGAAAAGAAAATCTGGTGGATAAGGGACGTAAATTGCAGGGAAAACACCATTTCTTACCCCATGCACCACACCACTACAGACACCTTTCTCTCTTGGAGTTCTGCAGTAAATATCTGGTAATGTTTTTGCAAATTATTCTGCCCACCTCTGTGCAGTTTTCTCTCTCTGGCAGCCCTTGCACATGGCCCTTGTTGTTTCCCCATCATTATCCTCTTATGAAGTATGAAAGTACAGTTGATCTTGGTGCTAGAAACACAGCCAGACTGCTTAATAAAGAAACAAGAACTTTAAAATATTTCAAAGGATTTATGGACTCATGTTGCTGAACTCTGTCTCCTAAGGATGTGTGTACTGAGCTCGCCAGCCACTGAAGCTCTCCTCAGTGCACTCACAGGCTACATGCTCCATTTGTAGGGAGGGGTGGAGGGATGCTTTCCATATACTGTAAGAATCATCTGTCTTGGGATTACTGTGAATTTTAGAGATGAGATGACATAGCACAGAAATACAAAATGTGATCATTTCTGTCTCCTTGAGAACGCGATTAACCCTCATACTTACACTGTGAAATAAAACTAGTCACACCCGCTGAAAGAATGCAGCCATACACAGAGCTTGGACCACATCTTCAGCATGCACCTGAGCTGAAGATTCTCCAGGCAAAGCCCCATTTCTGTACTGGTTACTATTCAATCAGCTGATATCACACTGGTAGGCCCAGTGTGAATATCAGAGGAGCTGAGATCAGCTTTATGCACCCATCCAAGTTCATCCATTTCTATTCAGCTCGAGACTTCTAGCAAAAGTCATCTTCTACTGATATTCTTTACTGAGCCATCATGCAGCCACCCTAAAACTTTACTCTCTGCACCAGCACTTGTATTCAAGTTCCAACAGAGCTCTAGTTTCAGAGAGAAGATGGGACTGGTCCTGCAGGATTTTGTTTTTCATTGTTATGGTTTATTTTAAATGAAACAAACTCCAAAATGCACTGTGCTTTGACAGTGGAAGAAGTCTTACACAGCCTTTTAAAGAAATGGCAGCAAATGCTATCAAAGCCTTGTTTCAAAATATTTACAAAGTAGTTGATCCAGACAGTGAAGGGACAACTGTATATCAGGAATTGGGAGAGATTTTCTTGCATACTTCTTGAATGAACAAACATTGACAGAGTCCTGAAGTTGCAGAAAGCTCCTGATATATTATCTGTCATATCCATGGGGTAAGCAGGGGATCTAACAACTCTCCTTCTAATGGTGCCTCCATGTTACATTTGGTCAGGCAATTGACTCGGGTTCACAGGTAATTTGGGTGCCCTCATGGCAAATCAGGTAACATCTGCTTTGTCTTCCTTCACCAAAATGTAAACTCAGTGTTTAGCATATGGAAATATACTGCTGCTTCATGCTAATTTTGTTTAAATCAGTCTATTAATTTTTGTACTGTGCAGTCATTCTCAAGACAGGCATGACCTCAGTCTTTCATATTTTATGACTTTCCCTTTGTGGGACAATATGCAGCTCTTCCATGTTGCTCATCACTTTTGGAAAAGGTCAAATTTCATGAGTTCCTTGGCTGAGTGAGGAAGGGGGAAAGGAAGAAAAAGCCTTCTTCATTGCTTTTTAGGAACTGAACTGTAGTCTTGCTCTCTACAGGCTTGGGAAACTCCAGATAATTTCTGCCTGCACAAATAATGAAAACCGAATTACATGCTTCCATGAATGCAAACAGTGGCACAGGAAATTGTTTAACCCTTGAGAAGCTTAAAGCATAATTTCTTAATAGAGTGAGATGTTATCCTCTTCAAAGCATCTACAGACCATTAGAAGGGTTTCAAATGAAATGGGACAGATTGAAGCAGCATCTCATCTTTTCCCATTGCTATTTACTGCCAATGAAGTGCTCCTATGCATCTGTAATGGCACACATTCTCCAGGGGACAGGAAGCTTTAGTGTACATTTCCAATGAAACAGTTTCTAAAAATCAGTCTGAACGCATCGTTTTGACCTCAGCATTTAAAGTTTATTTCCCTGCAGACTTGCAGAGTGAAGTTGTTGGGTGAGACTCCCAGTAAGACTGGCAGATGAAATTTGCCTGTTTCAGCAGGTGGGGGCAAATGATGAGGTCAGCAGGCTGCTGCCTACAGCAGAAGGAAGAGCCCTGCCCTGCTGCTGGCTCTGCCTGCGTGTGAGAGCAAGGAAAGCCTGAGCAGCTGCTGTTGGCCATGGGAGGCCTTGGCGTGAGCAGGGTTGGGACTGGCCAGGCTCAGCAGGAGCAGCAGCCCGCACTGTTCCCAAATATCCCACCCAAACTATTCTCCACCCAAAGATCACTCTCTCCCTTGCCCTCCTTCCTACTGGTGAGAGCAGCCTGCCCTGGCCCAACCTCGATGCTTTTGTTGAGTGTCACTTCAGCCCAAAAATCCAACTCACAAAAGAGTAGGAGCTTAGGAGGATAGAGGGACATCCCTGTGGTCCTGCTCTCGGTGGGATGGCCTCACATGGGCAGGCCACTCAGTCAAGGTCCTTGAGTTGGATTTTAACAGCCAAGTGAAGTTGAACGCCCCTTTCTCACTCTGCTCAGTGAACACCTCTCCTTACAAATAAAGGCTTATTGTACATCCCTCGCTGAGGTAGCCGCCAGTGCCCTTCCCATGACAGTGGGCGGAATGAGCCGTCATCGGGCCGCGAAGGGAACACCAACCACCTCATGGCACTGACGTCAGGCAGGACCACAGGGCTGCCACAGCCTCAGCGTCCCCCGCAGGCATCGGGAGCTCAGCACGTCCGCATCGGCCCCACCTCAAGAGCCCGGTCCCCCTTCCCCGCGGTTCGCGGGCTGCCCTCTGCCCGGGTCCCGGCAGCGGGGAGCTCTTCCCCAGCGGCCCGGCCCTCTGCTCCCGTCAGCTTTCCCGGGGGGAAAACTGGTTCGGGGGCTGTGGCCGGCCAGCTCGGGCCGGGGCCGGGGGCCGCCCCGAGGGGAGCACATGGGGCCGGGGCTGCCGCAGCGCTCCTGCCCGGCCGGGGCGGCAGCGGGGCGGGGGCCGGGGCCGGGCGGGCTGAGGGGAGCGGCGCCTTGGCCGGAGGGGGGTGCGGAGCCGCCGTGGAGGGCGGAAACGGGGTGGGGGGATTTGCGTCAGTGAGGGAGCTGAGAGCGGGCGGGACGGACGGAGGGACAGACGGACGGAGGGAGCCGGCGGAGAGGCACCGGCCCGCTGCGCTCGCCCGCCGCCCCATGGAGCTGCGCCCGGGGCCCGCGCCGCCCTCGGGATGGGCGCTGCCGCTCCTCCTCGCCCTGGGCGCCGCCGGGCTCAGCCACGGCACCCCGCACCTGCCGTACTCCCGGCCGGGCTCCCGCAGCAAGTGAGTACCGCCCGCCCCGGGGCGGCTCCGCGACCCGCCGGGCCGGGCGGGCTGCGGAGCCCGGCGTGCCTGACCGACGCTGTCCTTCTCCCCCAGGAACTGGTGCGCCTACATAGTGAACAAGAACGTGAGCTGCTCGGTGCTGGACGGGACGGAGAGCTACGTCCAGGCCCAGTACAAGTGCGCCTGGAACCAGTTCCCCTGCGAGCCCACCCTTGTGTAAGTAGCGCAGGGGGCGACCTCGGCGGGGAGAGCGCTTGGCCACCCATTGCCCAGCCCCGGCGGGGATGCACCGGGCGGATCCGGCGCCCCGACAGGCGCAGGGTCGCGGCGGGGCTGCGGGGCGCCCCCGGCCCCAGCGCGCCCGAACAAAGCGCTCGCTCTTTGCGGACAGCAGGTCCGAGCTAATTAGAGCCAGATTGAGGGGCCGCTCCGTGCTGCCGAGGGGAGCCGCGCTGGCACCTCGTCGGCTCGGAGAGGCGTGCAGGCGGGCGGAGAGCACGCGGGCTGCTCTCCGTGGGCGGCGGCAGCGCCGGCACCAGGACCGCACCTATGCGCTGCTGGGAGCGCACCTGGGCCAGAGCTGCCAGCGCACAGCCGCGCTCAAAACCGGTTTTGTTGCTGCTCCGTTGTGCTGGATCGGCGCGGAAAGGGAGAGAGCCAGGAACGTGAGCCAGCACCTTTAGAGTCTGTGCGTCCTTGTCTGTTATCCTGCGAGGGGAGCGGCCAGTGCACATTTTATGGGGGGTAGTGTAAAGTTGCTTGTTTTATTTTAATCTTCGTGCGTGTGACCACGTGGTAATCTGTGGAGTGGCCACTTCAGCAAGGTGTGCTACAGCAGGCGTTAGGGAACTGATGGATCTCACCTGCTGGCTATTCGCAGGCAAATCTCCTTTCTTCATTTTTCCACTTGAAAAGCAGTAATATTTACACACTTCTGTTTGAATGCTCTAGGCAGTATGCACTCTGTGAAACCATTTCAGCATCCCCAGGAAGTCACTGGAAAGACACCCATAGATTTTCATAGGCTTAGACTCGGTCTGAGGTGATGAGGAAGAGTGTTTAACAATAAAGCTACAGCAACTAGTTTTTATTTTGATGTGAAACAGTGATGATGAGACAGATATTGCAAGATCCTGGGTAATACTGAAATAGAACTTCAGACACCAATGACACTGCCACCCTGGGGTCCGTGACAATAGGTGTTGGGTGCTTGGCATTCAAATATGCTGCTTTCTGTTTGTTTAAGCTGTTATTTTCGTTAAAAACCCAGCTTTTCTCTATATAAACACTAGAATTGGAGGGGGAAAAAACAAGGACAGCTGAGTAACACCGTCTTGTGTAACTTCCCTTGTTTCTCTTTGGAGTCTTGAACTGGCCATTTTGGACTTCTGACTGAGTTTGTGGATGTGTAACGGGGTGTGTCCTCTAGCCGGAGAAGTCTCTGTAGTGGAGCTACAGAGGCATGAGGAGGGGTTGAAACTGAGCTCTTTAAACACATAAATCACCACGCATTAAGATAAGGAATTTCAGAGGCGGCAAATTAGGACTTTCATGGACTATCTGCTAGTAGATAGTGAAGAAAGTGCAAAGGCATTGCTTCTAGCTCAGGAAATTCCTGCACTGAGAGTGTGAGATTATTGGCAGGAGTAACAAGGGAAAGCCCAGCTTGTGCAGAGGGCTGGACTGCATGACCTCCAGAAGTCCCATCCCTTCCAGATTTCTCTGTGGTTCTCTGAAATGGCATTGTCTGTCCTTGTGCTTCTAAACATCTGGAGTTGGCTGCTGTCAGAGATAGAATGTGGGGCTGAACAGACATTTGGTCTCACCAGATGTGTCCAGTCTCATGGGGTTTTTTTGTTCTTTTGAGAATGGAATTAGATACTTATCATAAGACTTTGTTTCCTCTGTATGACTTTCTTGATGAACATCACCAAAGAGACTAACATAACTGCAGAACAATTCCTTGTTCTTAAATATAAAATATTCCTTATTCTTAACATAAAAATTTTTCTCCTGTCATGGTACTAGATGATTAACACCAAGAGAAGGTGGAATATCAAAATCTTGAAATTTTGTGTTCAAAACTGTTTATAGGTTGTCATTTTATTTTTGTGTCTGTTGCATATGCACTCTCTTAGTGGCAGAGTAAGAGAGTGCTAATCCAAAAGTTTGAAATACATGCCTCAAATCTTGCAAACCCCTAACTTGATTCCTGTGAAAAATATTGTTTAATTCAGAAGGAGTAGCTGTCTGAATAACAAAATGTGTTTATATATGTTTGCTAGCTAATGCCCACAAAAATAGGAAAGAGCTATAAAAGATCAAAGAAATTACTGTGAGGACTTTGTGGAAATTATCTTTTTTTTCTCCTTTATACACTTGAACAGAGAACTCAAACTGAGCTAGATAGCAGATATTCATGGGAATGAAGTACAGTCCCTGTGTAGTCTCCTCTCGGTACCCATGGTTTATCTAAGAGCTCATTCAGCAGCAGACAGTGGGGACAGTGTGATCCAAACCAAACAAAGAGTTCCTTAACTGTGTCATGGATGTGTGTGTTTTATTAGTACTTAAGTACTATTAGGTCTATTGTTAAATCTACTGTTGGTTTATATTAGTTTAAGACTAGATTTAAAGAGCCCATCTAGTGTAGTCTAGGTTATGTATAATAATTATTTATATTACAGTGTATAGGGGAGCATTTCACTGCCTTAAACTTGCAGTGTACTCCTGAAGTCCATGTGTTCTTTACAGACAAGAGACTGTGTGTTGTAGATATGGATTATAGTCAGCCCTGATTTGTCTTTGAATTATTGTTTGTTTTTTTGAAATAGAAAGCTCTGGTGATTAAGCCTAAAATCATATGCATGCATGAACCCATTTTATCTACCCTTTAGGCCCATTAAAATATAATTTATCTGAAGACAAAAACCCTAAAGCCCCCTGTTGGAATGACTACACTTCCATGATTGTTAACTGTAAATTCACTTTGGCTGCAGGGTGTATTTCTTGAAAGGTTAAGTTGAAATTCAGGAAATTATTACACTTCATTGTTTAACTGTTTTATGGGTACTTGGGCTCAATAGTGCATTTCCTTGCTGAAAAGTTGGTGAATACTTTGGCTGATTAAGGTGTCAGGGATGAATGTGAGTTGAAGTGTGGCTGCTTAAGAGATAGGAAGAGAGAGAGTAGAAAGAAAGAGCAGAAATGCCCTTTGAAGTATGTTCCCTTTGAAGTGTGAGAGGCTCCTGATTTATTTTTCTTAAAACTGACTAGCAAAGGAAGGAGAAACTTTGTTATTTGTGGGTCATTGGGCTGAAATTTACAAAAATATTAGTGTTTATACTCACTAGAAAGTGCTTGGATGTTTTGACATTTAATATTGCTTCATAAATAATTGTCCCCTCACCGCTTCTTTTGTAACGAATTTCCCTTCCTAGCTTTCTATGAATGGTTTGATAACTTAATTAGCAAAAACAGCAACTTGTGACTAGTAGCATTATCTATTTCTTAAAGAAAAAACATGTTGCCTTTCTGATTAGATCCTACACACTCTTTAGGGTTGTGGTTTGTTTGGGACATCCTCTGGTCACTATAGCCCATTCAGGGTAGGATGCTGAATAGCAGTTGTTTATTTTGCCTCTTGTTCTGTAGTATGTGTGGGCACACTGGCTGTACCAGAGGTGCACCAGTTTATGGCCCAGTGCTTTTGGGAAAAACTGCTTCCACTAGTAAGGTTTTGATTTTAAAGTCTGAAGTGAACTGAAGTGGCTGAATGTTTTCTGGGTTTATGTCTTTGCTACAGAACTGCAAAGAGGACTTCCCCCTACGAGGTCATAAATAAATAAAATTAGCTTAGTAAGAACCTCTGGAGGTCATGCAATCCCCTTGTAGCCCCCAGCTAACACTAGAACCAGCTTCAAATTTAGATAAGGTTGCTCAGGGACTTGAAGAAAGGAGGTTTTATCAGATCTCCTAATTCATGTACCAGTCCCCATTAATTATACTCGAGTGAGCAAAGATATTTGTGTGCTCATGTCAGGTCATCTGTCTTCAGCTTGTGAGGAGTGAATTTCATGATTTAGTGTAAGCTTCTCATCTTAACACTAATGCTAAATGTATACTAAGCAAGCCTATTATTTCATTTAGAAAATGACCCAGAAAATGATGAATGAAACAATAGCTAATCAGCAAGCCTCTCCAAATCTCTCACTGAGAAATATTTTCCAACTTCTTGTCATTTTATACTTTCAAATGATCATAAATAAAGCCAGTGCCAAACTAAACACAATTTTATTCATGGCCCAGAAACAAAGCCCAAGATTAAAATTACTTTAGAGAAGGTTACTAAAAGTTTCCTGCATTCATAAACATCTGAATAAATTACTACTTATGAGTAAAACTCTGCTCTTAATCAGCAGTATTACACATTTATTATCTATATTACTGGGTAAAAGTGGAAGTTTTATAACTGAAAACCCTCACATGAGACATCCAGTTCAAGTTGGATGGCTTCATCCATCTGGCAACCCCAGAATGACCTGGGTGGAGCACATCAGCCCTGGTCTAGGAACATATAGGAAATCCCCATGTAGTTTTCAACCTTCTAACATTCCCAGTGTAGCTTCCTCTGAGAGTGTTCTGTTGCTAGAAATCAAGCATGCAGCTCAGTGTCAGAGTGCTCAGCACCAGACAGGATCAAACCTCTGATATACAAGTCAGCACAGATTGAGCCTGTTTTTGCCACCGGCTTCCAGCAATACATATCTCATTAAAAAAAACTTTCAGGATGCACAAAAAACTTGAAGGGAAAGCAAGAGCTGTTTAATGTTTCCCCTCCAAGTATCTATAAAGATCTTCAGGACTTTCTTTCCAACTTTGTGTACTTTTGTATGAAGCAGAATTTCTTTGTACAGGCTCCAGCAAGCTGACTACACAGGGAGGTTAGCCTAGGGCTTGTGCATTGAAAACAGTAAGGAAACTTAAAAAAACTTTAGTCTCCTGGAGTGCTTGTTTGAAAGTCTTTGAGATCCTGCTGGGTGTGGTAAGTTTTCCTGGCTGTCTCTCCAAGCCTGAAATTGTGCATCTCTGTCTCCACACACTGAACACAGCAGAATCTTTCTTCTCTGTGAACTGGACAGGGAATTTTCATTTCACTTATCAATTGAGTTTATTGCAGTAATGTTAAAAAAACCCCAAAAAATCCCATGCTGCTC